CCATAGGATTTTAATATGTCTTCGCAAGAGTTTGTACATTTTATAAAAGGATTTGTTTGTTATTTCCAGTGCGGTCTTGAATAAACGAAAACCGTAACAATGATTTCAGTGTCCTTTACGAGGCACATATACCCCTTAATTAATATAAAACATTGAGCATGGTGTTATATTTTATTTATCGGTAAAATCGTTACAATTTCTCTCCATTCTAAATGCAAAATATGGTGTGATATAAATGAAAGCTAATGTGTACTGTAATATAACACTGGTATAGCCTCCTTAATTCGTTCAATATACCCTATCTTAGCTATACATAAAATAGTTACCTAGGTCATTAATTAGCTACAAAGGCGGTTCGAGGAGACGCTTATAGTGTTATATTCATTTCGCATAAAGAAAGGTTAAGAAGGGATAAGAACTTAATCTCCCTAGGTCGCTTAAGGTGATTTAGGGAGTGATTGATGAGTAGGCCTTCCGATCTAATTCAATTTCACTTAGCTTTGTCTCCCAAAATGCTATCTCACCCAGTTTGGACTGCAGTTTCGATCTCGCCCAGGACTCATCTGTACCGGAGGCGGGATTCGATACTGGGTCTTGAGTGTCATGGCCACGAGTGTCATTGAGTGACAAGGCAGATGAGGCATTCAAGGCAAGCTAGGTCTCTTATAGCTTACATTTATCCTGGGATTGCCGATTATGCAAATGTGTATTTTGTTGTTGACGGCGGTACTTTCATTCAATGTGAGTAGTTTAGATGCTATTGATAAGACGTGAATAAGAACTTTGTCCGCCTAGGTCGCTTAAGCCTTAAGTATGACGGAAATAGACTTAAAATGCTATGTTAAAATGGTTTTTAGACAGTATAAACGATACAGCGAAGGAAACTGAAGTAGTGCTGGGAAGTCGATTGCAGTTTTAAACTTGCTTCCTCGTTCCGTCAACATCTCCGCAACTCGAATCGAGATTAACTTTCCTTTAGAGGACGATTTGAATGCCTCCTTCTCTCAAAGGGTGCGATTCAGAGATACAAATTTACTCGGTATTTTGACTAAATATCCTCATGGTGCCGGCCATGCCAGGGGAACAGACCTGGTCTTATTATATGAGAAATGCTGGGTTTGAAATAAACCTTTAATGAGTTCATTTCATTATACCTTTCATTTTCCCTGAACTGTAGTACGGAGCGGATTCGTAAATTGGTATCATCAGAAAGTAAAGGAGGATTATTGAAAGATATATGCAAAGAAGTTCTTGGCGCATCGTCCTGCGACTCTGGTTAACTCTTGCTGGACTTTTGTCGATCCGGCCACGACAGATATTTTCAGAGCCAGAAACCATTTTTAGTGAAAACTCGCATTAAAATAAGTCGGATACAATCTTACTTACTTCTTTTACTCTAAGGTGTGTAATTGGGTTCTCTGTGGCGACTTTTATTTCGAGTGAAGATGCCTGATAAAAAATGCATAGGCTGGGCTCACCAAAGAAGACTGTGGATTAATGTTTTTCAGTAGTCGTGCGATTCTAAAAGGAAATCGTCCTCCCTCGGTTTCAATGGAAACATGCTAAGCTCTGGTTTGTCAGGCAAGTAAGAAGGCATTATCCGATTTTCGATATAAGCAGTTTTTGTGACTATCATTAATTCGTTAATAGGAATTTAGTCACACTAATCGATCCTCTTTCGATTGAATGAAGTGGGTTGACTTCGTTTTCGCAACTTGGTCTTGTTGTCAGGGGGACTTAGTTGGAACGAACGAACTTCTGGGAATGTACCAAGTCCACGGTCTGTTTCTGAGACTTATGATAACTACTATGACAGAGAACTTCGGTCAATGTGCGTTCAACTAAGTCGCCCTGACAACACGACCACGTTGCGAAAGCGAGGTCAACCCACTTTTAGTCACACTAAATTGTTCATCTTGTCTTTCTTTTCTCGAATTTCATCTTTCATTCCTGCCGTACTCATCACCATATCAACCATCTGAGCCAGAGTCAGCCCCTGTCCGAATCACCCGCGTCCATGTTCCCGTTATCAGTTCACCTTCAGCCAAGCTTCGTGAATCCTCGCGACTGTCTGAATAATTTCCAGAAGCGTCTACAAAGTCAGCTTATCTGCCTGGAAGGCATCTCCGCTAACGACGCCATCTGCATGGAAGAGCCTTCCTTGGCTCTACTGCATCAGCCTCTGATCACTTTCACAGTTGCCACGATCCGACAGACCGATGAGCAGACGACAGGTCCTGCTGAGTCCGTCCATCTGCGCTACACGACCGATGGCTGGACCAACCATAAGGACACACCGAGTCTGGGGCTCATCAACGTCCAAGAGCTGACTCCAGGCGCCCACGATCCCCTTTTGTTTACATACAAGGGTCACATTAGTGCTGCCCAATTGGATCAAGACGTTGTCGATTGGTTGGCAAACCATCCG